TAGCCGATAATTGTCGCGACATTCGGGATTAATTGTTGGAACAGCACGGCAATTAATTATCGCACGGTTCTGCCCGCGTCGCGCTATTTTATTGGCGAGCAAGAGACCATGATCTATACAAGTGTGCGAGTTTAGTGAAATAGAGAAAGAGAGAGAGAGAGAGAGAGAGAGAGAGAGAAAGATAAAAGGTTCGACGCACGCGTGGACATCATCGAAAAGAGGGGGAGGCTTTTTCGATTGTGCGTTTACTCACACCCACCATTACGTCATGGCAACCTACGAAATTCCAACGCTCTTTTCTCTTTCTATCTCTCTTTCTCTCTTTCTATCACGATTGATAAAAAACAAGGGGATCTGATTGGATCCATTGACGTAGCACGCGTGACATTTTCATGCAAGCCATTCCCCATTCTTTCTCACTCGTCCTCCCTTCTCTCGTAAATATTGCGATTAAACCATCGGTTAGCCCCACAAAAACCAAATTAAATATCACGCTTGACCTCACTCTCTCTTTCTATTCTTCTTCTCTGTAATTGTTACTCACCATGGGTAAATAAAAAGGAAACATTTACTATTTATATTTGTTTCTATTTTTCAACTCGTCTGTCTATCTTCACACTTGTAAGTATTAAATATTTCTTCGAATAAAAAAAAAATGTATATATATATATATATAAATTTCACATATTCTCTACACCCACATACAATACGCAAAGAATTTGAAGAAAGTCGAATATTTATGAAATGCTCTTCAAAGAAATGTTTGTTTAACACGCATCATTTTTCTACCAACTCTTAAAATAATCCAGCGATGATCGAAAGATAGTTTTAGCGACATAGATTCAAAAAAAAAAAAAAAAAAAAAAAAATAATCTTTTCCCTATACTATGGAAACTTTGCTCTTATAGGAAAACTCGAAATGGCTTGCGTCCAAGTTGGAATATAAAGCGGAAGCGAAACCGCCATAAATCCGATACATACCGCGGCACTATACGCTACGGAAATTCGTTATCGGATACAATGGCAATTTTTCTCTCCCTCTCTCTCTCTCTCTCTTTCCCCTTTTACTTTCCCCGTTGTTGCCTTTTTTCTAGCCGACATCCCTTTCCCTCTGTAACCCCTCGAACGACGACAACATTGGGGATACGCAGCGGCTTCTTCGTTCCAGGAAGCGCTACGAACGCGACACGGTAACATGAGCTTTTCTCGAACCATCGTCGTCGTCGTCATCGTCGATCTGGACGGTTGGCTGGGCTGGCTGGTTAGCTGGCTATCGATGAATTACGAGATCGTAGATCGAGGGAAGTCGTTAAAAAAGTATCGCCACATTTTTTCTTAACATCTGCGAACGATTTGGTACGAAAGAGTAGGGTTCGCTCGTTAGTGTAGTGGTAGTAGTAGTAGTAGTAGAAGAGAAAGGAGGAGGCAGAGGTAACGTTCTTTAGAGAGGACGAATGTTTTACTTCGAAATCTGATCCGATAGGAACGTTACGAAATACCATGAGAGCCTGGTGCACAGTGCCACCTATACTTCTGTCATGGGATATACGTATATCCCACGAGACGATCCATAAACTTTGGATCTGCTCGCAGTCATCCATTTTCGAACGAAACGTATTTGTGCAACGTATGTATGTGAATAGGTAGACATCTATATATACACATGTATAGACATGTATATATACACGTATATTTACGTTTATACACTATTTAAAAATATTCATGTGTTAGTAATATCAACACATGTATACATATGTATGTAAATATATTTCCCTACGCATTTATGCATTTACACGAATGTATATTCATAAACATGGGAGGGTAGAAAAGTTCTTATACATATGTATCTATATACTTATACGCATATACGCGTATAAACATCGCAAAGTTTTGATCCCCTAACTAAAGGATACCACCGACCCAAGGTCTTGCGTACTTGCTCATTTTCCGAGGATTATATCTTCACCTACCCACCTTCTATACACATCAAAACATAATCTTCTCCTGTTGCGAAACGACAAGCGGGGTCGTTCGTTCATGCGAGTGGCTCGACCGAACAACACAGTTAATATTTGGAACGCGTTGGACACAAAAGCGTCGCTTTCGTGATATATCGTAGCTATATAAACTACGGCTTTACCAACGATACGCTGGCAAAACGGTAGACTGATTTCCATGTTTATGGAAGGTCAGCATGGGGTTAACCCACACGACATTACCGCCGAAGACCTATGTTAAACGTCGACCGAAGAAGACGCTGTTTTTTCTCCTTGTATTAGTCTTCGGATATTCTTTAGTATCTTTATTTAAGTATTATAATAATATAAGGTATATATAAGTAAGTCGTATAATATTCAACTTCGTGAAAAGAAAGTTGAAACCGAAAAAATAAACTCAAATTTTTATCGATAAGTATTATTGACTTTTTGAACCAGAAAAATTTTAAGAACATCCTATATATATATATACATATACAAGAGAGTATAAACGTTCACATACACACCAAGAATGTATCAAGTATTAACTTGGACGGCACAAGCGCAATTATTATTATTCTCGTTATTTCTTCACTCCATTCAAACCGTTCTACCAGCAGTCACTCGCCGAGGTTATTATCCTATTGAGCTTGTAAGAAACGGTCGGGAATGATGTCGTACGAGCATCTTACGACATCCTCCCATACCTTCTCTGTCTTTCTCTCACTCTCCATCTCTCTTTCTCTTTCTCTTTCTCTTTCTCTTTCTCTTTCTCTTTCTTCTTCTTCTCTCTCCCACTTTACTTCAACGACTAGCAAAGAGACAAGACAAGAAGAAGGTCGGTTTACCGCTTTACCGTTACTAGCTTCCCTTCCAAGAAACGACTTCCATCCAACGAGCTCATCGAAAGAAACTCCTTCCTTGCACGTTGAACGTGGGATCAAAGGCGGCTAAAGAAAAAGATGAACATGTATTTTACGTTACTTACTTTCTTGATTACTCCCACGTTCGAATTCGCTATTAAAAAAAATTACAAACAACGACGAAAAGAGGGGATTCCTTGTTTTTATTGGTCGAGCGTCTGTGATAGAAGTGAAAAAAAGCTTTTGTGCTTTTTTTTCATGTTTTTTTAAGTTTACTCGTCGATTTGATCGATCATCTCCCTTCTTTCAGAAATGATGTCGTTATAGAAAAAAATATAAACGATAAATAAAGAGACAGAAATAGAGAAAGAGACAGACAGAAACAGAGAGAGTGAGAGAGAGAAAAAATCTTTCCCTTGGACTCCCTAGTTATTAGATCAAGAGGAGATATGAAGACGGATGAGGGCTGATTTGAATATAAATGGAGGGAACGGAGGTTAATTAAGTGGCCAATGAAGAAATCGAGAAATTATTTCGTGGCAAACAATGTTCTTTCTTTTTATCTAATTTTCTCCTTTTTCTTTCTCTTTTTCTTTCTTTATCTATCTCTTTTTGCTTTTTCCTTATCTATCTTTGCCTTTCCTTACTTTTTCTTCTTTTTCGTTACGGACAAAAACATTTCCCATCCGGAAAACGTCGAGATCGGAAGATAATAAGGAGAAAGGACTTTTGGAAAAAGGATCACTTTGGAAAGACGGCAATTATCTGGCGTAATTAGACGACAAATTCTCTGTTTTTTCTTCTTTGAGGTGTCACCTTCTCTTATCTTGTTTTTCTCTCTTTTAACTTTTTTTCTTTTTTATTATTTTTTCTTTTTAAGATTCTTATTCCTATTTCACGAAGCGGTTGTTTTATACGAAAAAAAAAAAAACACCAAAGGAGAAAAGTCGATTTCGAAATTGTATTCTTGATGTAACCACACACGCTCAATTTCGTGGCTCTGCCGCGTTTTTCTATTTACTAAGAACGTAGAAAAAGAAATACGACTAACCTTGGAAAATATTACGAAAAGAAAGATAGAAAAGAAATGAAAACGTCCATGAAAACGACAATGATCGATTGGATCTTGAATAATAAAGAAAAAAAAACAAAATAAAATAAAATAGAAGAAGTAATACGAAGAAGAAAGAAAAACACCAGAATGGAATCTAACATAAGAGAGAGATCGATAAAATTATTCATTTAAGAGAACGAACGATTGATCGATTATTAGCATAGTAACTTTGTCCTTGCGGCTTATTTGACGTAATGATTGCTAAACGAATAACGAAAGAGTTGTTTCTCGTGTATCAACTCTCATGGATATGCATATTTGTGTTAGCGACACATATATGTACGCGTGTCTCATATAAAGAAATAGCACCCGAACGTAGTTATAAATTGCAAAACGGCAATACTTTTATCGTCCATTTTACGAGAGGTCCGTTCTCTTGGCCGTAACTTCGTTTTCGAATCCGATGGGACTATAAAGATAAATTAAGTATAGTTCGAAGGTAAATGGACGCTCGAAAGCGAGCGCGATGCTCTCGATGAGGTCGTTAAAAGAATTTAACTCGAAAAAATGTTTGAAAACGAATTTGGTAAAGAATAAATGTATATACATCTATTGTACTTATATTATGTACAATAGTAAATATACATACATATGTATAATATAAAAGAGTAACACGATCTCATAAGTATGTTATAAGAAAAGAAAACTTCGATAATATGGTATCTTGTATGAAAATACTTCAATAGACAAATCATAAGCAATAGAAAGCATCGAAGTGTTCATATTATAATCCACTCGTTACAATATATAGTCACATTCCATTCGTTTCTCTTGAAAATATTGGTGAACTTGTCGACGAGAAAACGTTTGACTTCTTCGCTAAGATGAATTTTTAAAATGTATTCCGTCTCAACAGGTTTGCTCGGCATTCCTCTCATCGACATATCTTTCCCTCTCTCTCTTTTTTTTCCAACACATCGACCTTATACATATCAAAACACATAATATCGTTGACTGTGCAAACAAGTCGTTTTCTTCGAAATAACCGTTCATATTTTTCTTATCGTATCGTTGACGCTTATATCATTATTTTCATTTTGCTTTCAGCTCCAGGTCGAGGACAGCATCAAGAACGAGGTCGATCGTAATCTGCCTTATGCTGTTACTAACAATGGAAGCTAGAAGCGTAGAGGGTGCGAATATGACAAATACCTCCTCCTTGTCCTCATCGTCTTCGTCGTCCTCCTCTTCTTTCTCATCTTTATCGTCGTCGTTATCGTCGTCATCCTCATCGTCGTCATCCTCGTCCTTGTCCTCGTCCTCATCCTCATCCTCATCGTCAGGTGTATCGACGTTAAAGCCGATTACAACAACGGAAGTAGTTTATCAACGATTCGCCATCGAGCCAATGGATCAAACCGCGGTGGTTGGTAGCAGGGTGACTCTTCCGTGTCGAGTTCTTGATCAAAAGGGGCCCATTCAATGGACGAAGGATGATTTTGGACTTGGTGCTGTTAGAAATTTAACTGGATACGAACGTTACGCTATGATCGGTAGCGACGAAGAGGGTAAGTTCACTCTTTGAAGAACCCTATTTATTTTTACGTAAACTCTCCAAACGTGTCTCTATTTGCTGATCCATTCTCTCTTTTGATTACTATCTTCCACATTGACTGTTAGGAAAATAAACGAACGTGTTCGCTTCTGTGACATCGTTAATATACTTTTATCAATTCTGCAGTTTGCATAATAATTCATTGTTATGTAGGAGGTAGTGATAGAAGCATTTCATAGCTTCTTCTTTCTCTATTTATTTCTCCTGTATCTCGATCGAATGAAATTACAAGCCCGTAATGGCAGTACGTTTCGTTTGCTCGTCAAAGTATGAACGATCTCGTCGCCCTCGGAAAAAGTAAACTTTTGTTATCCTACTTTCTCTCTCTCTCTCTCTCTCTCTCTCTCTGTCTTTCTTTCTTTTTCTTTCTTTTTTGTTCTCTTTCAATATCTCTGAGTTATCTATGTATCTACCGATCGACGAACTCATTCCCTCCTTCTTCTTTTTAACCAATGAGAATACGATTTTATTAAAACTGCTCTCATTGCGCTTTTCGACGACCAACCGGACCGCTTGTCTTCACAGCGAAATTCAATTTCCTACGACGCGTACCGTTGACTCATTTTTTTCCTCTCTCTCTCTCTCTCTCTCTCTCTCTCTCTCTCTCTCTCTCTCTCCCTTACTTTTTCTCTCTCTTTCTTTTATTCTATCACTCCCCTCCCCCCCCTTTCCATCACTTGCTCTCATTCCATTGATTCTTTTTTTTCCTACTTCAACCGAAAGAATCCAATCGAAATCATCATGCGTGCTCTCTCCTCGTAGCAGCCGCAACAAAATATTTTATGTCGTTTGCCATCGCCGTACTCGTTTCGCCAATCATATCGAGCATGATTCGTTGATACTTTTTTTCCTCCGTTTTCTTTATTTTTTTTTCTTTCCTTTTCTTTTTTTGTCTTTTTTCTTTTTTATTTTTTTGTTCTCTTTTTACTTTTTCTTTTAAAGCTTGATTGCCAGGCCTATTTCATTTACAATCGATACGTATATTTACGTTGTACTCCAAAAACGTCTCCTTCTCGTAAAATTGAAAAGTTATATGACAACTCGTTATATAATATTATCGCTATATATATATTCGTACGTTGTTACGTAATCGTACAATGAAAGATATGGGAAGGATATTTGGAATTTGTAGAACATCTCGACGAACGATATTTCGAATGTTCATGTAGTCGCTTAGTTGAATAAAACAAAGAAAAGGATCATTAGACTCCCGAGGATTAAGTGTCTTTTCCATGATTTAGCAGTCTTAGAACTCGTTTACTTGTACCTTTCCTGATATTCGTACACCATCAAAATCTTAATTAATCTTATGAACTTTTCGTTGGAAGCGTAGGTAGAGGAGATACTTGCGCTATGGCGTTCCTTTAGCAAAGGACGCGAATTTTCGCTCGAACGAGTCTTTGAATCGATTAGGAAGTCTTCAAGTTTTCAAATTCAACTTACCCTAGGACGCGGGATTGTAAAAGCGAAACGATAAGTACGCGCGTGTCGTTATCTTCGTCCAAGCATCTCGAATTGTTCGCGTGAAATGTAGATAATTAACGAACACGTAATATCCGTATTATATGAAATATAGGGCAACGTCATTCGAATTCAGAGACAACTACTGAGATAACTATACATAGTGAGATACTCTAGAGATTTCTAGGATTAAAAAGAATTATATGTCGAAATCGTTGAATTATGTGATCCTCTATTTTGAAATCAGAGAGAAATACGATTATTTTATACGAATATATAGGTGCAGCTATGTACTTGTATATATACCTTTATTGTATAATATAATTAATTATAACTCCGTCGAATGTTGAAAAATGTTCGTGCTTCTTTTAAATATTGTCAAAGGATTATTTTCATTTTTAATTCGATTAATACGATATATTGTATTAAATAGATGGTTATAATTTCGAGCTGGTAAATATTACTCGAATAAATTTTGTCCAAATTCTTTTTGACGTCGACACGCTCGCGCCTACGTAAATGGAACAATGCTCTGTTGAACCGAGTGTATAATTTCTTGGAAAAATACCCTACTCGCTGACCCGTTGAATTTCCTAGAAAATAGAAGCTACCTTACTAGCACCTGTCATAAAGAAAATCATATATAAAATTAAACAAGATAAATAAAGAGAAATTTCAAGTGCTGCTGATTTTTTTTCGTAAAAATATTTTTATATTAACTCTTTCCTTTTTTTTTTTAAATATAAATATATATGCATGAAAAGGTTCACTTAATTTAATTAAATTTTCAGATTCCTAAATAATATTGAACGAAATAATTTTCTAGATATTTGATTTTATAAATGAAGATAGGGAATATTCAACTAGAAATTCTTGACATGCTCCGGACGTTTTAAACGAAGAAATATATTGCATGCGCGAACGTTCGAGAAATAATCTGATTCGTAAACGATCAATCTGCGCGATCGAGTAAACGTTTAATGCTTTCGACTTACATTAATGCGTTACATGAGATTCAAATTTTCGTGGCTTCCTTTGATACATATTTGGTAGTACGTGTACGGTTTACGTAGTACTCAATCCAAGCAATTGCTAGAGTTGTAACTTAATTGCTTTTCAATTAAGAGTAATTAACTAGTGCTTTCCACAGATAATTCTGTATTTGACTCCGGCTTTAATGATATGTTATTTGGTCATGCGATTAGGAACAATGTGATAAAATTTCATTTCCGAGGTATAGGAAGGACGACAATTTTACATTTAAAATGATGACTTTAAAAAGCATCAATCGTAAGCTATTCGAAATTTAATCTGATTCAGGAAACGTAGCACATAGATACTAAATGCATGATTCTTTTTTTTCCTTTTCACGTACGCGTTAATTCGTTGCTGGAAATGGGGAAATTGAGTAATCGAGTGGACTAATGAAAAATAAAACAAATACGAATTCTCCTGCTGATTCGAGAGAAGATCTTTGAGTAACGATAAAGGTTTACCATCGTTAAGATTAATTAAAGTCTACGTTTTTTTTCAATAAAAAGCTTTTCGAAGTGAGTGAATACCTTATATTCTGTGGAAATCTAGGAATTACAATTAAGACATCAGAAACATTTACTTCGAACGATATTTCGTACGTTATTTCAACTTATTAAAATCGATAATTCCAACAACGAAAAAGGGAACAAATGATAGAACAAAATTTCTAGATAAAATATTATCACAGGCATTTCGAGAAGGCGGTAACGTGCACAACGCGTTCGTTTCGTTCGATTTGCCAATAAAAGTTATGGAGTGAAGTAAAAGAAAAAAGAGAGAGAGAGAGAGAGAGAGAGAAAAGGAAAGAGAAGAAAAGAGAAGAATACGTAGAGGTGGTAGCATAACGCTTTTGCACGGTACTGGCCGTTGTGGAATATGCGCTACAGGCGATATCGGAGTTTTCGTCGATCGCACATGACTCTCGTCGTTTCTATTTGTTTTTCGGCTATTCGAGGCTGTGAGGATTAGCCTCGCGAGGCGATAGACCGATACGACGATATCCTATATCGATATTTTTTTCTCTTTCTCTCTATTCTGGTGGTACATTTACATTGTATGTTGCAATCGTACAGACTTTTACGGTATCAGTTTCCGGAAATGATAAGATTCAAACGTTTCAAAAGGGTGCTTTCAATTGGTCTGCAATGTGATTTGTGTACTTATCAAAGAACAAAATGTATGTAGTTACAATTAATTCATTATAATTGATATTTGTTGATAATCATATTGGTTTGGATTGTTAATGGATATACGCAAAAATGTTGGCAGATAAACTAATGCGGGATTATATACACAAATATATGTCAGTAAATTTCAATAAACTTCTAAAGGACGTACGCAACATTTAATCGATAACATTAAATATCGAATCTGGAAAGCCATCGATAATTTAACTGATAATTCGCGGCATCATTCTCGGTGTGGGCCCCCGACCAACGAACATTCTACATTATCCCCTCCCCGTAGTAGCTTTTGAAATATTATTCCTATAGTTTTCCAGCGGTGTGCAAATGAGTTTCCAGAGCTCGCTAAAGTTCACAACGTTTTGCGCAAGTTCATAGGTGAATTCCAAATAGTATTGATGCCGTGTTGAGAGAGAGAGAGAGAGAGAGAGAGAGAGAGAGAGAGAGAAAGAGAAAGAGAAAGAGAAAGAGAGAAAGAAAAAGAGAGAGAGTGAGATAGAGAGACGTATATACATATGTATGCATACGATTGGAGCAAATATTTGAGAACAAGTATCCACATCGAGAGAGAATGCTCGAAAATGTCTACATGGTACGGTCAATCAGAAAACGGGTATATCTATGAACGTTTAAACGTACGTTCGAATCTCGGGGATCTTCGATAATTACTCTTTAATCGTACTTTGAAAATTTATCATGAACTTTCCCAACAATCGATAAACATCGTCTGAGTTGAGCGTGTATCAAAGTACATAAAAGCGTTAGAGAAACTTAGGAGAAAAAGTGGGCTTCACAGAGCAAAGTTTGGTTGGCTATTTTGCTACCTTGCCAAATACATCAACGTACGTTTAATTTTCTACGATAGAAATTATATTTGACAACGTAATAGAGCGGTTACTCTCTCTCTCCTTCTAGTCTCTTCTCATAGTTTAGAAATCGAGGAGGGGGGGGGGTAGGAAAGGGTGGCGGAAGTTGTTACAGAGAGAAAGAGAGAGGGCAAAGGAAAGAGGATAAATCGATGACTCTCGAGATCGTAAATCGTAAGATACTCGACGGACAATGCCGAGGAAATCGTATAAATTCGCATAAAAACACGGCACTTTTCCTTGCTTGAACGCTTTTTCGAATCCTTCAACTCATCATTTTTCGTAACAATAGCGCCGTAAGCTTACAATACGGTTGAGATTAAATTTCTCTCTAGGTCTTGAGTTATCGTCTATTTTTGCGATAAGTTCGAACGACTAGGTAAAAGGGCATCTCTAGAACGATCAAC